TATATATATATAGTAAAATCTGTTGGAGAATCCGATATTCCTTGTAAATTTTGTAATAAAAAAACACGTAAATTTATTTTGAAAATTTAATTATTACTCACAAAAATGATAATCGCTGTTCCTTAGATTTCAACAGGAAATAATCAATTGAAACAAGCATAATTGTATATACATTTATTAATAAGCTACAATGATCTATGTATTTTTACAGATGTACGTTAAAATCCTTGAATAAATGACAATTATTCTATTAATGTATAAAATATTTATGCTCAAAAAATCAATAACAATTTAATTAAGTGACTAAACAATATTGTATTTTAACACTAGATATACCAGACAAGTCATTTTGACTGATCGGGCCATTTTAATTCAAAATTTCTACTTCATGTAACATTTGATTTTTGTAAATAATTAAGCGTTTTGTTATTTAAAAATGCCTACCAATCCATTTATCTATTAAAATTATTATTGTTAAACATTTTTTGTTATTTTTTAAGAGTAAATAAAGATTGTAAGCATCAAAAAGCATTTGTTTTTATACACCAGTCATTTTGACTAGTGTGGTAGAAATTTAAAATGATAGTATATATAGTGTTAAGGGTAGTCATATAAAAGTTTTTTTATTTTATTATTTTTATCGAATAATATACAATATAGAAAAAAACAACTAGTAAAACATAGAATGAATAAAATTATATAAAATAAATATTATTATGCTTGTTCAACGTGTTAAAAAAATATAAGCAAGGAACTTTGGGACCGAGTTAAAAAAAAAACAATATTAATTAAACCAAATAAAAAAAAACAATGATATTGAAAAGAAAAAGAAAAAAAAAACATAAATCAATAATGATTCCGATCTAATCTCTCAACTAATCAGTTTACGATTTAAAATATGTACACGTGTTGTGTTGATGGTGATGGTAGTGTGTCCGTCTTGTTTTTAAACTGAAGAAATAAAAAGACGACGAGGAGTTTCGAATTAGCACAAAACGGTTTCTCAGAAAACACGCGCCCACTATATATATATATACATAGATATAACAGCAAAAACGAGTTCTATTCTTTTATATGTTGCGCGTCGTCTTCCCAGAATCAAATAAGATCTTACTTTAACGACGCCAACTTAAATACAAACTAGTCACTACTACACGACACATTCGACCGGCTACTTATGAGATGTTTTCATTATGTAATATCATCCGAAATCCTTCAAGAAAAATAAAAAGAATAAGCATCCAAGCAAAAGAAGAGTAGTATAAGATAGGAAAAACATTATTTAAATCGATGAGGAAAATATGCAAAAGATCGATGATGTTATTTCATATCGAATCGAAGTTAGATTTATCGAAACAAAGCCGACATTTTTTAACTGGCAACGTGACACAATTCTGATTGATAGGCTAATTAAATTTCAATTTTTATTCTTAAATAAAATCAATCAAATATTTTTACCAATTACTAATACAAAGTAACCCCCTTTTCTTTTACTATTGATACATATGATTTTTGTATATAAAATGTATCCTTGTTAAACAATTAAATTTTTGTAATATATTATCTCCCAAAAGTTTCTTTTTTACTTTTGTTATCTTACTAAAAAAGGCAAAGTACAATACAAATTCTTGGAGTAACCCATGATTAATGGCTTTCGTATGATCAATGGATTCTGAAGTATCGAATACCTACACTTCGATGACTTCTTCAAAAGTGAAAATCCCTATTCTATTTAGGTCCTTAAATAGGATCCATTCAGTAAAGGATCGTAGGTTCAAATAATGGATTTCTCCAGGGTCGGGTAATACTAGAACGAGAAAGTGGCCGCATCGATCTTTTCCGAAAAGTACGGCGTACATGAGAGAGACGGGAAGAGAGAAAGAATGTATGTGTGTAAGAGAGAAAAAGAGAGAATAACGTGAACACGGGTCATCATTTTTGCGATGTTGTACACTTCCTAAATAACAAAATGTTTGATCACGATCTATTGCAAGAATAAACACACACCAATATGTGTGTGTATGTACATTTATATTATTAATTTAAAGTCAGGTTTTAATCATCTCATCACTTTCCTTATAAAATTACATGTTAATAAAAATAAATATGAATAAAGAGAGAGAGAGAGAGAGAGAGAGAGAGAGAGAAAGAGAGAGAGCGAGATAGATGCAATGGATCAAAGATTCTTTAAGTGCAGTATTGCAACCATGGACGAGTAAATGCGTGTGTTAATATTAAAACGAACGTGACGAATGGACTTCAAAGAGCATCGAACGATCTCGTGGTTTTGTAGCTCGTCAGATTAAAGTGCGATAAACTGCGACCGATATCACGAAATGCCGGTCGTGTTCAACTCGCGATCATCGCTTAACTTACGAGAAGCCGGTTGCCGTAATCGTCGTTGATCATTATTGTAGTCGTTTAAAAACGATAATGAAACGATTAAATACATTATTTGTAACTCATAAAAAAAACGTACGTTTCTATACGAATAATAATTGCAACCTTTTTCTATTATTAAGGTTTATCTCAGAATCGTACTTTCTGTCATCGATTTGTCGTCTTCGAAAGTATAATAATTAAAAAATGAAGGAAAAAGTGCAAAGTAATCATCAAGAAGTCATTTTTATTTCAATGAATTGTTTGTTGAGAAAAAAAACAAATAAAATCGTTGTTTAATTGCTAATCAGAAAGGGATGTACACGAGTATGGTACTTGAACGAAATATAATAAAATAAAAAAAACAATAAAAAAAAGGGAAAGAGGGGGGAAGAATATGTATGATGAAATTTTGAAAAAGAAAAAAAGAGGAGAATGAGAAAAAAGGGGCGAGGCAAGGACGAAAATTAAACGAATGCCGACTTACCGAGGAATTTGTCGAAGATCACCGACTTGTCTGTTTTTAGCGTTATTACTGGTGAACCACATCTCGAGTAGCTTCTCTACGCCTTCGAAGAATTGCACGCTTTCCGCATTGTCGTTCTTTGACGATGCCATGGTTCGTCGGCTCGTTATTCGATGAGACGAAAACCACGATTCTTATGCATGCACGTTTATTTAAATCGATGAATATTCTCTTTACTTAATTCAATTCTATCTCCTTCCTTCGAAGTGGCGGTTTTTATTGGTCTCTTCTTCTAGCGAGAAAGAGAGAGAGAGAGAGTGAGTGAGAGAATATGTCTTACGAAACGAACAACCTCCAGCGCAAACTTTACTTAACTGAACAGTCGAAAGAGACCGACCAGTCGAGCAACGCGTTTAAAGCTGTGTTGGTGCTAATCCTCTAGTTCTGTCTCACTTTAACTACTGTATCATCATCTCAATACACGTGTATATATATATATATATATACATTAGGTGTATACATACCTGCCCCCTATCTTTCGGTAAAGGAAACTATATTTGGCCAATGATAAGCCACTTTGACACGCATGCGCACTCGAAGCAATAATTATGCCTTTAATTGTAATAATTGTTTATAAATTATTTTTACAATGTTTTTTGTCATATTTAGCATTTTACAAAAAAGTTACATATAAATATGTCTAATATAAGCTTATATGATTTAAGGGATTAAATTAAATTTCCTTTAAAAACTTTGAATAATTAATTTCAAAGGAATTCATTTACGTTCTACCTATTCATTATGGATTTAATTAATCTTTTAAAATATCTTTTGTTTTTTTGAAAACATATTTTTTCACATTCCCGCCCGCTTGTACCTGTTTTCAGGGGAGAAAGTGCCACATTTCCTCCCGCTTGAATGTTGTAATAAATTAGTGCGCATGCTTCAATTTTTTAGCGCATGCGAACTAGTTTCTTAACCTTAGGAATATTTTAATAAATTACTGCGCATTTTTCAATTATTAATATTAATAATAATTTATAAACTCCCTATTTAATTAATTAAATTTTATTTAAAATAATATTTTTTAAACTTAAATAATAATTTATATTTTTAATAGAATATAATTTTATTTTTTATTTAATTTTATGGTAATTATTTAATTTAATTTAATTTATTATTATATGAGATTGATAAATGTAATTAATAAACTAAATAAGTCGTTGCTAAGATTACGCCATACTCAAAAAAGCTTGGCGCATGTTCATAAAAGTTGAAGCATGCGTAATATTTTCTTTAAAAATTTTGCAGGTAGGAAATATTAAAAAACAATATCATTAAAATAGGGAACCACCGATATGTTTTTTTTTTCTAAATTAACAAATTAAATCATGATATCGAATAATTTAAAAAAATATAACCTATCTCATAAATTTTATATTTTATTTATTTTTATATTTACATTTTTTTAAGTGGGTGCTCCGCCCCCCAACCCCTGCCAGGGGCTGTGCCATCGGACCCCCCTAATTTTTTTTCTGGAGGCTTTGCCCCCAGACCCCTACCAGGGGTTTCACCCCTGGACCCCTTGCTTGTTTTTAAATTTACATAATTTTTGTAAAATTTATTAATTGACAACAAATAAAAATAGTATATTACATACCTAGGGCAGTATAGTAAGAAAGTGGCAACTTCGTTTTGCACAGTTGCAGCGGGAGAAAAGTTGACGCTTTCTGCCCGGGAAGAAAAACATGTGAACTATAATTCCTTTTAACCTAACAGCAAAATATTAATAGTATATTATTATTTAATTACAACCGAACTTTCGATACCGGTGTGAGAAAAAAATGTATACTCACCAAGTGAGGAAAGTATGACATCCCGACCTACGTTTTTGTCACCCTCGCCTTCGGCTCGGGTGACAATATTCTGCGGGTCGGAATGCCATACTTTCCTTCTTAGATGAATAATATACTATTTTTAGTGTAAATTATCGATTATTAGATTCTTTTCTACGTCTTTCTTGATACACTATTGAAGAAATGCATTTAAATTTACCGCGCAATGATATAATATAAGGCGCATGCATTCATATTTCGGCACAACTAATTAAGATTACTTTTTGTTGCAGAAATATAAAACATATTAAAAATAATATTTATTTTTATCACTGTTGCATTGGTAAAAAAATAATACAGAATTATGATTTATTAACCTATGATATTGTACAATAAAATTGATAAATTATTTCATTTATGTGTATATCTTAAAATACTATTTACAATTATTTATTCAAATTTATAAATTAAATTAGTAGCAAAGTTCTTTCTTGTTAAACAACCGGTTTAAGAGGAAAGATAAATAAGCGTATTGATTTCACAAATATGAAACATCTGTATAAATTTACAAAACTTGATAGAATATATACAAGAAATATAAGTCGTTATAATGTGTGTATCCATTTATCTTCAAACGAGTCAACAATGGTAATATTTTTTCAAAAAAACACTTTCATTTTGAATGTAGTAAACGATCAATCCATATATTTACATACTTGTTCATATGGAAGCGTTCTTACGAGTTTTCCTTCTAATTGTACATCTATAGCATATTCTTCTATGTGTAACTTTTTTACTATTCCTTTTTCTCCTTTGTACTTTCCCCAAAGTATTACAACTTCCTTACCAATAGCAGGTATTACTGTTTCTAAATATTCTTGATCTAATTTTATTACATGTCCTTCAACATCTTCTGGTGTAGTAAGTTTTACTTTGCCAACAAATCCAGAATTTTCTATCGACTTAACAAAACCTTTAGCTTTATAATATTTATCACCCAAACTTTTGGTAATTACCTTAACTACCAATTTTTCCCTGAGCCAACCTACTTCGTTTTTAATGAGTTTTTCTGAGTTATCATTTTTCTTTGATTCCACCTTGATCTTTTGAGTTTCTTCATTTCCTTTAAAAATATTACATTCAGTAGTAATCTCATTTTGCTTTGACGTAGATGGATTAATTAGAGGAACTTTTGGTTTTGCTTTTAATTTTATATCTAAAACTAAAGGTGCATTATCATTTGGTCGTAAAAATTCTTTAGTTGTTTCTACCGTTTCTTCTTTAAGCGGCTTTTCTAGTTGACCCTTTTCTATTTGTTTTTCTATAAAATCCATTAATTTTTCTTGATCATCTCTATCCATTTTCTGTTTTTTAGCTTTCTTTTCTTGAGCAGCTAATGTTTCTGGATCTCTATCAATATAAGTGATATACCAACCTTTTTCAGTTTCATCAACAACACATTTACCTGTTCTACCTAACCACTTAACAAATCCTGTTAATGTGAGCCACATAGTTGCATTCATGTGTACATGTCCTCTATCCGAAATATATTCTTGATAAACTCGATTTGCTGGAACTCTTCTAGTACCAAACTGTCTTTTCAACAAATTCAAATATCCTTCAGAAAATTCACGTGAAAATTGATCCATGTAACGACTAGCATTATCAGCAAAAAGTAACAATTGCCGATGATGTGATTCAGACATTGTATGACATTTAAATCCATTTTCATCTCGACATTGTTTCTGACACATTTGACAATACCATCGTAATTTTTGTAAACCTTTAGCTTTGATTTTATTTGCAATATATTTTGGTGTTCCCACTTCGTGTTTACCCATCTTCTCGATCAGTTATCAAATTGAACTATACACAATTATATTATATTTCTTCAGAATTCTATAAACTATACAAAATATTTCGATTAAATACTATTTTCGTTTACAGTTATAAATTGTCTAATGGACATATAAGAATAAAAGCATGTTCCATAAAATAAATTTTGGTTAGATGGGTTAATAAAAATATTCTTACATCAACGACACATGCGGCATCTGTTGACTGTACAACGAAGTTTAAAAGCATCGCCATATTGTTTTTTTAAATTCAATTGTAACCAATAAACAAATATATATAGGGTGTTCTATGAAATTGAAATAAACTTATATTCTAAATTGTTGAAATAAAAAAAATATTATGTCAAAAATAAATGGTATCAGGCAGTATATAAAATACAAATAATTATTTACATATGTTAGAAAAATGTAGAAAAAATACCAAATTAATTATGAAAGTACTTCTCTATAAATCCAAATAATATAATTTAATAATATAATAATTCCATTTATATATACAAAAAAAGCATACGAGTAAATACATGTATGTATATATTTTGAATAAATAAAAATTAATATACCCGATAGGAAAACAGTATTCTTGAATTTGTATTTTAACATCCAAATTCTACTTTAAGTTTAACGTTTGCCTGATAGTTTTTCGAAGGTAATTCAAATTTAATCATTTCATCCATACTTCTACAATCACGTAATTTCCCTGCTTCGTTTCTATAATCATATTATAAATATTATATCAATAATATTGAAATTAATTCAATTAATTCTATAAAAACCTGCAAAGTATCGTAACCAAATTAGGATTTTGATGATCATCTTGACACCATTGCTGCCAATATTTATACAATTCTAATGGGTCTATCTCATTCAAATATTCATTACAATTATCTCTCAAACTAAAAATTATTTAATCAAAATTATTATACATATATAAATGTAAAATTATAATTATATTGACAAAAATATTTACTGTGTTTCCCATAAACCATCTCCTGAAGATGTTACTAATGTGGAGCCAGGAACGTAATCACAGATAAATCTTTTTCCATTAATTTTTCGCAAACTATAGCTATATAGATAATATATGTTTATACAGTATGTACATTTAAAATATATATATAAAATGTTTCATAAAATGTGTTTCAATGATCCCACATATTATGAAATATCTTGTATTTTAGAGTATTAGAACAAAATATAAAAAATAATTATAAGATCAATCGAATATGTATACTCTTCTAGTTATACGTACTGTTTGAAAGCAAAATTACAAATATTTCTCAAAAGAATAATAGCTTCTGTATCATTTAACCAAGTATCCATAGATTCATGTATTTCTAATAATGTATCATTTATCTAAAAAATAGTATAACAATATGTCAATAATATATTTATGGTTATTAACAAATTCTATCTATGTACATTAAATAAAAATTATAAAATGGACATTTGTGCTAACTTGATTTGCAATAGCAAGACACATTCCACATCTCACACAAGCAGAAGAAAAATGAACTTTTAAACTGTTTTCAGAAGATTCTTGAATATATGGAATTTTTTGTACTATTCCTACTGAATCACACTTGCAATAAGGATCTACAAACGTTGCATTAGAATTTATCAAAAATTCGTGTAATACTGTTTTTTCACAAGTATCTTCATTTTTCTTTGATTTATAGACACGACGTTTGCCAAAACTTGATACTTGAGACATTAATAATAATAAAATTATTATCAAAATCATTTTATTATTTGTATGCTATACAATATAAAAATTCATAAAAATATAATATATTATTAATGATTGTTAATCATTGATAAAAAAAATTCAAGATCTTTGAGCTCATGTAACAAAAACATGATATAAATAGCTACGTTTAATTATCTGTACTTTTCATTGGTTGTTTTCATATTACATGTATAATTTATAAATAGTTTATTTTTTGTAAATTCATATCAATTTAAACAATTGCTTATCTATTATTTTTTTACTTGTCTGAAGTTATTAATAAAATGATAAAGATAAGAAATGAAATAATTTATTAAACACAGTATTACTTGTTACGATTATTAATTTACTAAACTGTTATTTATTTTCTACATTTTTCTTTTTTAAATTTTTGTAAAAGCTCATGCTCTAAACTTTGTACTATATTTCTCAAATTTTCCTCTTCGGCATATGAATGATCTATGAAAAATAATTGTAAATGAATTTATATAAATATTTAAGTAAATTGTTTTAAGTTTTCAATATAAGTATACTTCTGTATTTGGTATGTTTCCAGTTTTTAATTTGAACTCAAAATTTCTAATTTCTTGTTCAAATCTTCGAAGTGAAGTACCACAGAGAATTGATGAAAATTTCTTTTCCAATTTATAATGTTCACAAACATTTACCTTTCTTGGTTTGTAAAATTGATATTTCAGGCATTTTAACATATTTTCGATTAAAGTTAAATTATTTTGATCAATGTGTGTTATTACACCTGGCCTAATTTTTGTTCTTAGCAAATGATGTAACTAAATACGTAATACTCGAAATCAAAATCTTTGATAATTATACAGTAACATAAATATTATAAGAATAATAAATTAATATTTAACAATATTGAATCTAATATTAAATAATACCTTAAAAAGTATAAATAAAATCCATAATAATGATTCATGTTCTACAATATCTTTGCAATAATTAATCTCATTTTCTTTGAATCTGTGAATACAATAATGAATTAAATGCTAATATGATTTATGAAAATGTTATTACAAACTTTTGCATGATTTGTATGGTCTCTTCATTCGCTGCATATATATTATTTAACCATCTCCATCTTTCTTGCAAATTTAAATTAATTTTCCTAATCCAATAACCACGCCATATTGCTTGGATTCTAATTGCCATACAATTATAATAATCCTCCCACATTTGATGTACTTTAAATATTAAAATTGTGTTTAAATTATTTCTTACAAAGTAACCACGCCAATTAGATTGAATAATTATTGCTTCTTTATGAAGTATAGATAAATGTTTTCTTGTTATAATACCACGAAACCATGCCTGTTAGATAATAAAATTTGCCAATAATTGTGACAGTGAATTATGTTGAAAAATTTGTTTACAAATTTAGATCAAAATTTATTTCATGATTTATTTTACATAACAATTATTTATATTATAAAAAAAATCTGAAAATTAAATATATAGAACGATTTTGATGACAACCTGAATTTTACGTGCAGCTATAAAGTGTTCACGTTTAAATAATTTAGCAATATCATCTCTTTTATTGATTTCTTCTTGAAGATCACTAATTTCCTTGTAAAATCTCAGTCCAGACGCCATTTTATCTAACTATAGAGAAAATGTATATAGTGACATCTATAGAAAGTGTTTTATGTAGAATAAAAACATTGTAACTCCGAAATCAAAGCAATAATTTATTTTGAAAAAGATAGATATATATAAATTTATTTTTTTAGTATTGTTACTAATAATGCAATCAAAGTTAAGCGAATAAGTAATATATATCATACTTTATATATTTATATATCTGGTGTATCTAACGTGAAGATAATTACAATGATAATACCTATTAAACGGTAACAATTAGATTTATAAACAATTATGTTTATATATAATATATATAATTATAAGAATGCAATTAAAAAGTGACAAGTTTTGTGTTCTTTCAGTGATCAAGATGTACAAGAGTGGGCTATCGTAGAATTGAAAGGTGAATTATCATTCGGTACAAAAGACATTACAAATAGTCATTACATAGGTGATTTTCATTTTACTAAATCTGGAACACCAATGCTTATAATTGGTATTCATGTAATGTATGGAAAAGAAATGGCTCTTACAAAGCCTATCGCAGTTCTTAAAAAAAAATCTATTCCTTCGACAAATCAATTAGGGGAAGAAGATAGCAAGACCGAATATACCATTCAAGCAATAGTAAATAAGAAAATTGTTTTTAAATTTCGACCTAAGCCTATTATAAATAATATAGACATATAAAGAAATATTTTAAAAATTATTATGCGTAAAAGAAATGTTAACGGTATTAAATTATTATGTATTTACATAGTTTATAAAAATAGTTGTTACATAGTCTATTAAATCATACTTAATATTGTTCCATAAAGTTGTAAAGACTTAAATTTATTTATATATAACTTAAATAAGTAATCAAAAGTACATAAGTCTTATACGCATCAATTTAATCTTTCATCTCTCCTTCCTCGTCTTCCTCTTCTACACCACGTATATACATGACATTGTTACATCGTATCAATACTTCTCCAAGATTACCAGTACAGGTTCCGTCTATGTGTTCTTCTGTATTTGCAAGTTGTAAATTCATATAACCATCTACTGACACAAGATATCCTTTATATTCATGACCCCACTTTAGTTTTACCATTACAGGTTTTCCGGTTAAACCATTTAAGAATGGTTTTGGATTTATTGGCATTGTCGCAGCCATGGTGATTATTAAATATTTCCTAAATAAGAATAAATATTATATTAATAAATATTTGACTCAATTTAGTTCGATTTAATTGAATGTCTGTTTCTTATTCTCATTTAAACAATGTTAGAGGTTATACTTCTATATACATAAACACGTTTAAGTTATATTTTGCTAATAAATATAAAATTGAAAAACTTATCATTTTAATAGAACTTTAAATTTATATAAAATATATATAAAAAAAAAATATATGTATATATAAACGTACCTTGGAAAAATTAATATAAAAGAAAAGTTTTAATTTCAGAGTAGAAACTGCACGCTTTAATTACGCTATTACCGACACAGTAATCAATGCTGCCAACAGAAAAAAAAGAAATATCGTTTTGCTGATTTTAGAATAAGCAGATATATTTATCAATAACAATTATAATAAAATATATTTTATTTAACTGTAATTAGGGTATCAAAAACTATCTTTGATATTTTTTATTATAAATAAATAATAATTTACGTTATTTCTGTTTTATACGTCTGTAAGGTTGTTCTGTGACAGTTTAAGTAATATAACCTAAAAAGATGACATTGGTTATTACTTACTATATTAATTAGTAAAATAAATACAATAATTATTTGTAGTATTTGAATAATATTATTTTATAGATTTAAATAGTGTTCATTTCTTGGAAGAAACAAGTTCATAACAAAAATGAATATTTTACCTAAAAAAAGGTAAGATTCTTTCTATTTTGTTTTTTCAAAATGAAAAGAAAATTCTATATATTTTGCCAACAATATTAAAAATTATATTTCCATTTCAGATGGCATGTTCGGACAAAAGAAAATATAGCTCGTGTAAGACGAGATGAAGCAAAAGCTGCTGAAGAAGAACGAGTTAAAAAAGAACGTATACAAAAAGCTGTAAGTATTTTCATATTATGATATAAGCAAATTTGTTTATCGTATATGTCATATTTATTATATTATTATATTTTTTAGGAAACTGAAGCACGCATTGATTTTTTAAGACAACAAGCAAGAACTAAATATGATGGACGAGCTGATACATCTAACATTAAAGCAGAAGTATCTACTGAAACATTAGAACATGTTAATTTCTTTTCTGATCTTGAGAAAGGTAAAATTGATTATAATAAACCAAATACAGAACACGAGAAAGAAAAGAAAGAGGAAAAAGAAAAATATGAAAAACAAATTGGCTATCTTACATATCTTGGACAAGATACAAATGAAGCATTAAAAAAGAAGAACTGGTACGAAGAATTACCTAAAAGATTAAATGATAAGGATGAGGATATCGAAGTAGAAATAAGAAAAAAGGTTTTGCACGACCCTATACAAGATATAAAGAAGTACTTAAACATAATGGGTAGTAGTCATTCAGAAAAGCAAATAAAGACTGAAAAAACTAATATTAAAAAGCGACATCATGATTTAGATGATTCAGATAGTGATACGGAAAAGAGGCATTCTGAAAAGAAAAATAAAAAACATAAGAAATATAAAAAACAAAAGAAAGAAAAAAGTGATATTTCCAATGAATCTTTAGAAAAATCTAAAACTCCAACAAACTTAGAAAAATTAAGAGCTGAAAGATTATTAAGAGAGAGAAAGGAGAAATTAAGAGTGGAAGCATTGTTTGCTAAATTACGTGGAGATCCCTTGCCTGCTACCAAATCTGAAGAAACACCTAAACCTTCTCTTAAACAAAAATATAATTCACAATTTTTCCCAGAAATTGCTAGACAAAATGCAGAAAGAACACCTCGTAATTAATTTCACAAATGTATATAATATGTATATAGAATTAGGCACTTAACTTAATCACTTTAAATAATTTTTAAATTATGCGTTGTACAGAAAATTATTTCTATAAAGGTTATATTTTGTATTTATTAAAAAAATTTAATTCACATAAAATCACATTAAATGGTTAATAAAAATTAATATCCTTCTCATATTTGCGCTAAGAATGCAAATGGATCCAAATGAAAATAAAGATTAAATTTAAGTTTAGCATGTTGTCAGTTTAATTCTGTCTGGGAAATTAGGTAAAGTCACGTGATTGTAACATGGCGGGCTATCAGGAAACTAATAGATAATGTTCTCGTATTTGATGTTTATGTACTTTTTTCCGTTAATCTTGAATATTATTTATATTGAACATTATTTTCGGTAAGCAAAGTGAATTATTTGATAATATAATAATTAAGATTTAAGGTTATTTAATAACTCTTATTACAATGTTAATCTCGAAGCAGACGCTTAGAGTGCGCGGACTAACTGGCGATATGTGCTTTTCGAATTTGAACATTCGCATTCCCGGTTTTTTTTAATTTGATAAAACAAAATCATGTATTTATGTTTATTGAAAGAAAATAAATGCGACTTTTGTATTAAATATTTTGTTTATAAACATAGTAAATAGTTACTTAATAAGATAACCTCATTCTCCAATCAATTGAAGTGTTCTTTATTTGTGTTAGATTTTATTTTTTATTTTGATATTGTGTGCATTATAATTTATGATGTATCTTTCAGTAAATACTCCCTGCAATTTGATAAAAACATGATTATTATCTTTATAATGTTAAAATATGTTTTTAATTAATAACTTAAGTAATAATCTCTCTCTCTCTCTTATTATTTTTATACACGTTTATTATACATTAATATATTATCTATAGATATCTGATCTATTACTTATTTTTTGTTATTATAGCTAAAATGAAGTTATGCTTTTAAATATTTAATTTATATCTCTATTATGAATGAAAATATGAATGCTGAAAATTTGTATTTAAGTTATGAGATAAATGGTAATAGATTTATTATACAAACTGTATCTAATTCAACGGATATAACAAAAATTGAAGAAATTACTAATGATGAACAAGGTACAGCAAATACAAATGATGAAACATCATTTGGCAAAGAGGAAGAACCTATTTCTTTGATTTCTGTAGATGGCCAAATTTATGCATTTCAAAAAGAAGACGTTCAAGAGCTTAATCTCAGTCATGTTGATGGTCAGATTGAATTGTCAGACAAAACAGTTTTGTTATCGAGAGATATAGAAAATGAAGAAACACAATTTATTACCAACGGAGCTATAATAATAGAAAATGTTGACAATGACAATCAGGAACGTTATGAAATAGTTAGTGAACAAAATGATAAAAATTTGCTTATGCAAAAGGATGATGTAAATGCCAATGATTTTGTAGAAGTAGTAACAGCATTTAAGTGTAAGATATGTACTTACACAACCCAAGATCGAGAAGAATTAATAGAGCATTTTGAAAAAACACACATTAATCCGACAGAAGATATAGAGGTGAACCAGCGATTAATCTTGATTTAGATTTATCAACATTAATTTATCAAATATAGATGTTACAATGAATGAATGAATGTTATTACTATCTTATGATTTTTCTCATCTTATTATAGGAAAAAGAAGAGTCTACAAACATCGATGAAGTAAAATTAGTTTATATGTGCGGAGAATGCTCCAATTGTTTTCCATCTTTAGAAGATTGTAAAGAACACATGATAAATGTAAGTATTTAAAAAATAATATTTTTAAATGTTTAATTGATGTAATATTTGAATGATTTATTTTATCAGGATCATCAACTAATAAATACAGCACCTGAAAAAGCAGTTAAGGAATATGCAACTAATGAATTGAGATATACCAATGTTGAAGAGATAGGAAATAATTGTAAAAATCCATTAAAACAACAAACAAAAAATAATAAATCTTTAAATTCTAAGCGCACATTTAATAAAAAAACTGTTGAAATGGCTGAAACAAATGTAAGGTATGTGTAAAAGTTTTAATATCTTAATTGTTTAAACAGGGATGTATTTTTATATTCACATATATTGAAGACAATGACTTTTTTCTTTTTTTCTTAGATGTACATATCGTGGATGTCCATATAAGTTTGCTACAGAAGAGATAATGCAGCAACACATTGCTTTTCATACAGAATCCCAAAGTGCGTCTGCATTCAAGTGCAATATTTGTCTCCATTTGAAATTTACTAAATGGAGACAATGTAGTTTACATTTGTGGAAGAAACATGGAATTGGTTAGTTAGTTTGCAGTGAGAATTCATCATTAAAAAAATTACATTAAGAATCATTTATTATTAATTTGATGTTATTAAATTTGAATCATTTTGATTTTAGACGTAGGTCTTTTCACATGTAATATATGTAAGGCATATAAAAGTTCTACAATGGTAAAATTGTTGACTCATATGAAGGTTCACAGTGAAACTCGAGAATATGAATGTTCAGAATGTGGTAAATGTTTTAAACAAGCAAGTCAACTACGTAATCATCGAGTAATGCATGTAGATCGAAAAACTTTAGAAGTTAAACGTTGGTATACAACCAAAAAATGTGATATGTGTGGAAAAACTTATGCAAATTCTAAATGTTTGAAAAATCATATACAAGCGGTTCATTCAAAACTGCGTCCTTATGTGTGCAACGTTTGTGGTCATTCTAGTGCTAGAAAAGCTATGCTACAGATGCATTTGCGACAGCACACAGGTGATAAACCATTTAGCTGTGAACTCTGTGAATATAGAACTGGTGATCATAATACATTAAGACGACACATTATGCAACACACAGGTATCTCTTTGAAAAATTAATATGTATTAACTTAAAACAAAGCATATTTTTGAATGTTAACTAATTATATGAAATTATTTTATAGGATTAAAACCATATAAGTGTCCTCACTGTTCATATGCAGCAATTCAAAGTAGCAGTTATAAAAATCACTTGAAATCAAGACACCCTCAATTATCTGGTTTATTCACCTGTAATTCTTGTTCTTTTATAACAGTTAAAAAAGAAAGTTATTTACAACATGTTCATAATCATGAAAAGGGTTTGATTAAATCAAATATACAAAAGAAAGGTACTTATTCTTTATCTTTTCTAAATATACAAAATGTTTTTCAAAATATATGGGTATAATTTCAAGGATGGTTTTAGTATGTTGAAATAAAAACAAAAAGTTCATATATATTATTATAATCAAATTTGTAAAATTTGTAGATGATGAAAATGTCGAAGTATTTCCTGGTAATATTGCAGCAGCACAACTGATCTATAGTTGTTTAGGTGCCTTTTCGAAAGTTGGTGATACATTAGAAGCTAATTTAATGTCTTCTTCGACATCTGCTGATGGTACATCACAAACAATTACTATTCAAATACCATCGAAACATCTTGAAGGGTCATTGTCATCGAGAGAAAATATTAAAAGTAATTCTGCAATAGAACAAGAGGATGAAGAAACGATGCATTGTTTTTTAAAACTACCAAGAGAAGAAGAAGAAAATATTGATACTGGTGGTATAACGATACCAGCTGAACCAGAAATCTCTACTTCTACCACAATTGATATTTAATAAGAAAGTGTGCACGCATGAGTGTATAGTAATAAAAAAAATGATAAAACCTTATTGTATTATAAGCTATACAGAAGCTATAATAGTGAACGAACGAATGAATACTAGTCATATGTTACTTAGTAATAATTATACTTGTTTACATCTAATTGATAGAATAGTTAATTATATATAAAAAGTAATCTAATGTGATACTATTTTTGGAAACATATATATTTGTTTAGAATTCACAGTATGATAGCGATAGTACTTGTGTTATACCTACAATTCTATATGAATATTATTTTTAAATATTTATTACCTTATCATCACAATTATCACAATTATAATTTATTAATCATTAATTTATAATACATGAGAATTATATTCGTTTTTTATTTTAATGAAATTATTAATGAATAACTTTAGCGTATACAATATAATTTTTTTTTTAGATGTTTATGTAATATGAAGATTAAATAAGTAAACGATTTTTCTTTTAACCTTTTAAGTTAATTTATTATTTTAAGCTATAGCATGTATGTAATTTATATCAGGGTTTTTTCAACTTTTCTACTCGATCACAACTCCCTTTAGTTCCCTATATGAGGTCGTCACTCACACTTTGAAAAAACCTGATTTTATACAAAATTTTAATGAAACATTTTAAAATTTGTAAGATTTTATTTTTGTTTCGATTGTAGAAATTTGTATGTAAATTTTGCTTAGAAAAATTGTTAAATAATATGATTATTAGAATAGGTAAGAAATTAGTAATAATGTATACAAGAAATTGTAAAATAATAGTTTGAAAATTGTTATAAATAGAATGAGATTAAAAATACAATACATATACGTCCAAAGAAAAATATTAATGATTTCACTTAATCCTTAACTTATATTTTTGGATTATATCAAATACTAATATAATAATTAATCATAGAAATGGCCAGAATGCCCAAAGGTTTTGGTCAATTTGTAAAATATACTTCAATGGGATGTGTTTAGACTACAGGAGGGTTGAGAAAAAAATCTCAAGTTATTATCTAAATTTGAATGATTTTTATTAATCGCATGTTATATTTGTTTCTGCATTAGAAACAATAAAATGTTTTCTTAAACTTGTACGGTTTTGTTTGTTTTAACTTAACAAAAATATTCATGTATGATCTAAATATGTTTATTAACAAAATGAGTAAAGTGTACATAAAAATTATCAAAACAATAGTTTGGAAATTAATGTAAATTATACATTAGAATGTATTAAGGTGTTGACATGTTGTCATGAATTAAAATTAATATAATATACAAATGAATATCTTCGTGATTTCATTTACATTTTGAGTAAAATAATGAACACTTACAATTAATACTACGGAAGAATCAACTGACAAATTGTTAAACATTATTCACAAACGTTATTTTCAATCATACGGAGTCGATATTACAAACTTAGTCGTTTGTGTATCAATTTGCTTAAATTAAGTCAATATAATAGCAATAGAGAGAAGTAGTAAGATTAATTACAAAATACATATACATATACATAAAATTTAAAATATTGACACATTTGTTAAAAGTAATGCATTAATAATTAAATATATTTAATTATATTAATAATATAATCTAATAAAAGATAAATGAGAGAGATATGTTTAAGCAAATTGATACGTACATGTAAATATTTACAAATAATAATTTCAGATAATTATGACACCATTATTTTGTTCATGGTAGTTAACTTAAAGATCTTTCTCTCTCTCATATTCCACATGATTTCATAATTAACATTCTCTGGGCAATTCTCCATAGTAAGCCGTTAAAGCTATTAATTTTCTTTCAAGGAAGTTTTGTTCCACTTCTACGGCAGAACCTACTCCAGCAAGCATAGCGATCTGTAATTATGATATAGTTATGTGTATTGTAATTGTATTTTTTATAATGTGTATAATATGTATAGACATTATAATATCTTACCTGCATGGTATCTACATTTCTAGGTAAATAGTAGGCCACATGATCAGTAATTTTTCTTGCTATTTTAAATATTTCTGTTCCACCGATTGGTTGCATAATATTTTCAAGATCAAAAGTTTCATTTTTCGCATAACCTGGTCCTCCCCAAGGTGGACTTAGAAATACAACATCAGCTGTTAATTTTGGTGCTAGTTGTAAGAAATCACCAACAATAAATTCAATTCTGTCTTCAACACCGTAAATACGAGCATTATTCCGGGCAAGTAGTATCTTTTCTGGATCAATGTCAATAGCTATCACTGTAAAAAGAAATTCATATAAGTAAAAAGTTAAGATAAGTAAAAAGAAGTTCAGATTGTTTCTTCAAATTTGATACTAACCTCTTTCGCATGTAAATGCAAATTGTATAGAATTTCCTCCAGCTCCGCAGAATGCATCAACAATTGTATCACATTTACATCTTTCTGCTATATGTTCTGCTAGCTTCTCCGGAGTTACAGAAAACCAGCTTTCTACAATAATTAATTATTCACAAAGTATTAATACATTAGAATTAGAATTTGTAATAACTCAGTTATGATAATACTGGTAGTTTGAAAAGTAATTTTTGGACAGTTTAACTTTGAAGCGAAAGTTGTTTTCATTTTCATAAAAAAAAATTACTTTTCGAACAATCCGCCATTTTTACAAAATACTAACCTCGATCTAATTTTATCCCTTGATCGAATTTACTAAAAAGATGATATCTTTTAATCCAATATTTTAATAAGCTTTTATCATTATTAACTTCTACTGGAACACTTATATTACTTTTTGATTGTTTCCTCCTCTTTTTCTTTAAAGTCCTTTTGATACAACTACCTCTTTCATCATCAACATACATATTAATATTTAAAGTAGACATTTTTTCTTCGTTTGTAGGAACAAGTCTTTCATTAACTAACGCTTTTACTTCATCTACTGTTTCACTGCATTCGTCTTCTACAAAATGGCCATCTACTTCTGTATCTTTAACAATTTGATCGTCTGTTTCACTGGAATCTTTGAAAGTATTAAATATACTTTTATTTTCTTTATCTTCTTTAATTTCTGATGAACTTGTGCTTGGTTTACTGAATACTGATTTCTTAGCTTGTAATTTTATTTTAGGACTATGGTCGCACTCTTCGTCCGAACTTGATGAGAACTGTGTTACAATATAGGAACCTTTCTCGTTCGACTGCGCTTCAGCGTCTGAAGACTGTTGTGCTGGACAATACGATAAATAACGTTTAACCTATTAGAGAAACACATATATATATAGTATTTCGTAGTATTGGTAAGCAATTTAAAAACTATTGGTAAGCAATTTAAAAACTATTAGTAACAATAGGAATAGACAGGTGCTGCCATCAGCTGATGAAAGATGTACCTTATCTATGGTGTCTGTGATTTCGACACCATGGTCATCAAAATATATATGTTTGTTAATAGGTTTAGAACGACCAAACTTCATTTTTAATTGCCTATTTTGCAATCTAATATTTCTTTTTCTATAAATGACTTCACCTTGTAATTTAGTTTGTTCTTGACTTTCATTGAAGGTATAACCCATTAATGAAAAAGCTTTTTTTACTGTTTCTAAACCTTCTCCTACATCGTCGTTATCAGCTTCATGACTGAAAATTGAATAAATATATATTTTATAAATTATTTGAAATAATTTTATGTAATTTTTAATTAATATACCATCAGTGGGTAACATAGTGAGCTTGACTCACCGGGTATATCAGGGAAAAATGATTGAAAAATGAAAGCATTGCACTTTTTAGAAAAAGGTATTAATATGCAACCCGCCGACCTACAAAAGGACCTTACCCGCCTGGAAAAGTTAGTAATACCTGACTCGACGATAGTACGTTAACACAACGTGTATTAATACGTTTTATGCAGAACGTAAACTAAGTTTCAGTAAAACACTTACTAATGCTTGTTTTTTTTTTCATTGTCACTAATTTTTGAGCAAGAATGATGTTTTTGGTTGTTTTTTTTTGTAAAGCCTGACCAGTGTTTAGTTCTAAATTTACGAATTGTTAAGAAAAACTAATAATTTTATGAAATGTGTTATTTTGACACTGCAAGTTTCATGCTTACAAAATAGCATAAATTCAGTTGATTGATTTTGATAGCATTGAGTTTAAGTTTTCTATATCTTCTAAATACTATTTGATACATATTTTTTCAAATTTCATTGAAATCCTACTATTAGATGATAACATGTTTTCTAAAAAGTGTACTGCTTTCATATTTCGTTCATTTTCGCCCACTACACGCGTGAGTCAAGCTCACGACGACGTTCCTGACGATAGTGTGTTAATATTAGGTGGACCGGAAAGTAATGTCACTTTCTAACCTTAAATTCCAACGAATAATTTTTTAACAAATTTTGACTTTTAAATCAATAATGTAATCACCCCTTGTTTATCAATAAACTTTTTGTGACTGATATGCAAATTTTATAACTGTTTAGAAGCGACATTACTTCCAGTATTTATAATATATGAATTACCTTCGTTTTAATGTAAAAGGTCTATCGTCGTTTGATTTATCTTTTTCATTTCCACTAGACAATGTTTGCGTTAATCCATTATTATTAGATGATGTAGCAGAATTTTTTCTGTTTAATGCACTTGCTGCGTCAGGGTGTTGTGAATTTTCTGCACCATTTGTATTGTTGTGATCAACCATAACCTCTTCTTCGGAATTCATTGTTAGACTTTGCATGAGCATACCAACTGAATCTATGATCATTCGTTTTTTATTTTTTAAATCTTTACTTACTACCGTATTTGTTTTTACTTTTTTATCATCTATATTGATATTTTTGTTCACTTGTTCAATATTATTCTCTGTAGATTTGTCTTCACGTGCTTGAATATCACTATTGGTCTTCCATGTTATTTGTTCATTAACCTTAAAAGCAGAAGAAACATGATCGACTTTTAAAGATTCTATTTGCTTGTATTTTGCTATAAATAGTTCATATTGCTTTTGATATTCCAATTGAAAATTTTCTTTCCACAAATGTTGCCAATATTTATCATTGTCCTCAGATACATATTCATTATCTTGATCAGAACTACTAAATGTAATGTTACTTTCAATAGAACTAGTTACAGAACTAATAAGACTAGATGAATGAATAGAATTGGAATCACAGCTAGAACTGGTTAATGTCATTTTGGTGACATTAGTCATAGAATCAGATGTTGCATTAGTCTTAGCTGTGGATCCATTGATAGAGTCACATCTTGTTAATAACCTTTCATCTTCTGCATTAGAATGTTGATTATAACTTTCTTCCGCACTAAATGGACTTAATGGATTCCAACCTTCACCTGCTTCAGGTGATAATTCATAATTAGTCAATTTTTTCCTATTATCTTCCGCATCTTTGTCATTAACAACATTTTGTTTATTTGGCTCGTCGAATGAAAAATTGGAACTTTTATTATTTTTGGATTCATTTTCATTGACGCTACTTTTACTAAAGATTCCTTCAAAATCTGAACGACCAATTTCACAATTTTTGTGCGCTTGATTAGGGAAACAGGTATTTTGTTCAGAAAATTTGTCTATACTTGCTTGTTTACTTTCATTTAATTTTCCTTCTTCCTTTACATTTAAATTTTCTTGAAGATAATCAGGATTAATGTATTCAGCATACTTTTCAATCCACGATGACCATATTAATTGTTCCCCATTTTTGTACCAATACTTTTCCCAAGCAATATCCATTTTACTTTTACTATTTTGGAAGTATTCTGTATAAGAAAAATCATCGGAAATTTCTGTATAATTGTGCACAGTATGTTCTGTATTATTTTCATTTTTGCTGGAATCTTGTATATCATCTATTGCCATAAAATTTAATGATAAAGGTTGTGCTATTGAATCTTTTTCTCCTAAAATAAACGATGAGGATTTGGTATGATACTTGTTTTTTGTGCGATTAGAGGTATTACAGCTTAAGGCTGACGTGTCTTCGATACAAGAATTTTCAGAATCAACATTTAATGTTTCAGACTTGATTTCTAAATTTCTGCTTTCGCGATACCTCGTAAATGCTTCCGCATTATCAAAACCATTTTCAACTTCGTTCTCAGATGAATGAAATGTTTTTCCATAAGATGCTAAAAGATTTTGTATACTTTTAGCTTCATGTTGATCATGATATTCTGACAAATCTGCACCAGAATCTGATTGATGTAGACCTAATTTTTGCGTAAGACTATGAGCTGTCACACGATGGGCTGAATCACGAATGGAATCATGTTCATCGGTTGAATAATTGTTGTCTGTGTGTGATGCACTGCAATAACAACTTACAGGTTCTTCCTAATAAAAAAAAGAAGAAACAAAGAGAAAGAAAACAAAAAAAAAATAAAAAAAAAATAACAAAAATATGTCTTCAATAAAGTATTCGTACAGATGCATTTCCAATTAAAGATAAATACTTTGTTACATTGTGATAATATAAAGTTAATAATATTAATTATCTTACGTCGTGTTTCTCTACGGATTGTATTTCTGTGTTGGTTTTTTTGGAGATATCTAACATTTCCCCCACGCAATCCTTTTCAACATCTTCACATTCGCTCCCATCTTCGGTTGTCTGAATTGTATAAACATCTGGATTTCTGAAGTAAAGAATGGTCAATTTAACATTTATGATGGATAAATCATTTGATTCTTTTATTCATAAATACAAAAAATTTCAATACAAATAATAATAGAATTAAAGGAAAACATTTGACAATAGTTTTTGAGAGATTTAAAAAAAAATGATACTTCAATATGACCATCATATATATTCATGTAACATTTGACAATAATTTTTGACTGAAAAAAGTGACATTTCAATGGTCAAAATAATCATATATTATTCGTTAAATATAAATTGTTCAATATTTTGATTAAAAATAAACATTTCGGTTATAATTTAAATGATATTATATATAAGTAAGTAGATGTCAAGGTTAAGTCATGTGTCCTATCATAAATCAATAGAAAAGTAGAAGTGAGTGATATTACTGATACAAAAGAATGAAAGGTTTTGATCAAAGAAAAGATAAAAAGAAAGAAAAAAAAAACCAAAAATTAAATGAAATAGAAAAAAGGAAAGAAAGATAAATAATATAAAAAAGAAAATGTAATATAAAAAAATAAGTTTTACATTTACCTGATAAACACTCTACTACAAAGACAATAAATGTAATTGTCAGAGTCGAGGGACTCCGCCTGTTCAGCTATATAAACTTCAGCTAAAGGTTCCCAAAATTTTTCACACATACCGAAAATGTCTAACGATCCGTTATACAATAATAATTTATCACAACACCCATATGTCTTTAGATTAGATCTTCATGACTTAACTCTTTGCAAAAACAATCCGCCATTCAATCGGCAACGTTCCGTTACAAACTTCAAGATAGAGTTATACTCTAAGATCGATTATCGATTTGAATCGAATTTAAATATTTAAATTTATTTTAAATTTATGCGATTTAAACGTTATAATAATTATACGTTATTTTGTTTATATTTCATATGATTTTATACATTTTTTTTATAATTATTAATTTGGACATTTTTTTTTAGTTTGCAGAAAGTCCTCGATTTTCGTACATTCTACTTTCGAACAATTCGTTATTTTGCACGTTTTTAACAAGTTGAGCGCCGCGTCCGTCATCGGTGGCTGACACTAGACTTTCAGTTTAAGCCGTGTCCGTCACAGGTGACTGTCAGCATATAACATAATATTTTTAAACGGCGCGCGTGGCCTGACGGGAACATCCTTAAAAATGGGCGTGGCGTTCAACGTGTTAAGCCCCTCTCAGAACTTTGTGATGGTACCTTTTTTTTTTTATATATTTAGAGCATTTTCTTTACAATTTGTTTTTTTTTTTTATTAAAATTTATTTAATTTAATATGAATTGTTATAAGATTCTTTTTACATTTTATGCACAAATTTATTTAACAAGTAACTTGTATTAATATAAGTCAACTAATTATGTGTATATATTTTGTTTTGCTCCTCAAGCATATTTTGTTTTTCTTCTAATTCTTTACAAATTTATTATATATTTAATAAAAGTTTGTAACAATAAAAAATTAATTTGTTTATATATGCAATATGAATATTACCGACGTGGTAAATTGTAATACTGTAATGTGATGCCCTCTGCGGCTCTTTATGAAAGTACTTACTGATTTGTCGATAACTTATTGTAGATAAAAATATAAATTTTTATTTATTTAAAATTTATTATTTTAATTACATAAAATGTTTTTTAAATAATAAGATTTCATTTAGATACATTCATGTTTAAATAATTTTTATTTAATTAAAAAATGAATCCATTCGAAAACACATAACATTGACAATCTTTAATTAATAAGAATTTAAAAGGTCCATTTAAATTTTAAAATTATTTATAAATAATAAATAATTATTGAGACAATTTTTATAATTATTACGTTAAAATTGTAAATAAAAATTGATAAATATTATAAAGTAAATTTTATAATTATACATTTGTACAATTTGCACTTTTGATTTATTAATATAATTAAAAATGATTTCTTTACCCGGCAGGTGTCGCCATCTGTAGGAATTCTCGAGATTCTGCGAAATACGAAAGGAGTAATGGCGTAGGCGGTGATCCACGTGATAAATTAATTTTTATTGCTTCGTGGGTGGCGGCTCTTTCTATTGGTCGATGATCGGGCACCTCCTACTTTACACGATGCGAACTATTATTTGTTTTTATTCTACTCCACACGAAGAACTCTTCTTTGTTTTTATACTACTCCGTTATTATACCGATGCGTACAAGTTGGTGTCTCTTCTTTCTTTTGAAAAGGAATTATCCATCAATATATGCAATCGTCATATGTCAATGAGTAAAAAAAAAAGTAATTCAAAGAACGTAAATTTACGTATATATTGATGGATACATGAAGCCGCATATATGCGTCTTTAGTAGTCGTTAAGTTGTTAAGGGTTAACGAAACGAATGAAATAGAAAAATTTATGGATACTTTTTGTAATTAAATATCAATTAATTCAAATTGAAGAATAAAGAATGACTCGAAAAAAGACATTAAATTTTTGTACATGTTTTAGTTAAAATTCTGTATAAATAAAATAGAAATGTAGTCTAAATGTTATTTTATAATAATATAATAATTTGGTTAAAATTTGTAAATATTTTTGAAACCATTTTGTTTTTACTTGATATAAAATTTTGCTTTATTATTTTCAATTTATCCTTAATTATAAATTGTATAAATGCATGTATAATTGTGTCTAATATTAATTCCCATACTTTGCATTTAAAACATTGTTCGAATATTTTTTTCCCAGCATTGAAATCTCCGTAGAAAATGGCGATACGTACACGTACAAGATCATAAGATTTAACGCACTATTTTAAAATATTACCTATGACAAATTATATTTCAATAAGAAGAAAATAAGATTGCATTAATGTTTCCACGAATAAACACATTTATCGTTTGGTATTTTTTTACGTAATAAAATAACAAAAAAACGACCAATCAAATGAAGATTCTCCTTCTGTGAATTTCGAATCTCATTCGTATGGGAAATGCCGAGTGCGTAAATTCTCGTCAAAGAATAATCGATCAATAAATGAAACAAAAGAAAGGAACTTGAATAAAAGAAAAGCAAAGAAACAAGAAAAAAAATCGTTCGAACGATTGATTATTTCCTTCTAACGAATAATCTATTATAAATCCATACTTAATAATACACGTATGCAATGGAACACGTATATGTATGGGTATATGAAGATCGTAGGTGAGTTTGGTTATACAAATGTGCATGTAAGAGGTCGCGGTTGGTGAATACGTGAAGAAAAAAAGGAGGATGAGGGAGGGATATAGCAGCATACGTGTGATATCGTCTTGGGTTCGTTCGGGTTTGCTTCAATTCGCGCTCCTCCCGCGCTTACAGAAAAGAGCACCTTGTATTCGAGTGAGAAGGAGGAGTAGGAGGAGGAAGAGGAAGAGGAGGAGGAGGAAAAGAGGTGGAGAAGATAGGTAAGGTTGTTAAGAGGGATAAAGACAGAAAGGATTCGTTGTTGGTGTAGAGAGACTGGTTGTGTTTGATAGAGAAAGATAGAGAAAGTGAGCGAGTAAAATATATATATATATATATGTATGTGTTTGCGTGAGAAAGAGAGGGTGGGAGGGAGGTTTGAGAATCGAAGAGATGCCAGGATTCGCGGCTCCTACGCAGGTGGAGATGGATGCTGCACGGGGATACCTATACCGTATATATACATATAAATACTTGTTTGAGAGGGAGTGAGAAAGAAAGATACTATATATATATATATATATATATATAGAGAGAGAGAGAGAGAGAGAGAGAGAAAAAGAAGATGTGTATGTGTATATATGAAAAGAGGGACGTGATCTTCGGATCCTCGTTGAGTGTTGGAAGGGAAAGAGAATGAAGGAAGAGAGGAGGAAGAGGAAGAAAGGAAGGGAGAATGAAGGAAGGAAAGAAAGAAGAGAATAAAGGAAGAAGGAGGTAAGCTAGTGAACGAGAGAAAGAGAGAGAGAGAGAGAGAGAGAGGGCAGAGGTAGTCTTTCTCGGTCGAGTAGGTAAGATAAGGATGAGGCGGACAAACGGACTGACGAAGAGTATCCAAGGTAGGGATATTCAGTCTCTCGGCCACGTGCTACACGAGCGCACGCCCCGAGCCGGCCGGTGGTCCAGACACGACAATTCCTTCCTTCATCCTTTCTTCTTATTCGCCCTCGTTCTGTCCCACGTTTGTTTTCTTTTTTCTTTTTCCTTTTTGCTATCCTCTCCTTCACTGCTCTGTTTTTTCTTCTTTTTTTTTTCTTCCCCTTGCGTCGTGTTTCTACCTATTCTTCCCACCCTCTTTTTCAATCCCCCCACTACCTTCCAATCGCACTTTTTACCCTTACCAACTTTGTTTCTCTCTTTATATTCTTTTCTATTCCTTCAATTTTCCATTCTTTTTTCTAATTGTTGCGAATGTTACTTTTTATTTGTTCTTCCTATTCCTTAATTATTTCCAATATGTATTTTTAATTAGAATAACCCATTTATGTGTTCGCGATTAACGGAGTATTATATTATTGAGGATTATCATTACGAGGATATCTTACGTGAAATTTGTACTTCAAACTGAGTAAAATAGAAATTATCGATGAGTGATTATTATTATTATTCAAAGTTATATAATTTACGACGTTGTGTGTTTAAGGGGATTATGAATTAATTTCACGTACTGTTTAGTGACATTAGAAGACTCGAGAATCGAGTGTCACCGTTTATGTTAGTGTTACGAGGATTTAGAAATTCATTTGTTGTTCAGGAGATTCTGTTAATGTTGATGGTACGTAATCAAATAGAAGGATGAGGAGGAGGAGGAGGATTATATCAATCAATGAGAAATCCATTTAACGACAGTGAGAAAGGAGTGTGAGGTAGCGGGTTGGATGGGGAAAGGGATGAATTTGGGTGTTGTAGTTTGTGCTAAACCTGCGTGTAAACGTAAAGGAACAAAAAAAAGAAACAAAAAAAAGAAACAAAAAAAAAATAAACGTCGTTCTCGGATGTTCGTAGACGGCGCCGACGATTAATTTGTCACGTCGTTCCTGGCACAAACGATTTAAATTGTCAGTCGGAAGGATGATACCCGAGTGACGTGCCATTCGCAACCGGTTCATTAAAAGATGCAGTCGGTTAACTGATCGTTCGTTCGATCGATCGATCGATCGGTTGTTATTCATTTGTCGACAAGAATTGGTAGCACGAATGGAAAAGATCTTGATATAATATATATATAAAAAAAAGGAACAGCTTAAAAATACATCTCAGGGCGATATTTTTGATGCCTAGTGGATTTTACCGATCAGTCATTATCACCGTCGCGAAGCTCATCGTTTCATCTTTCCAAGGATAGAAAACACGCTCGAGTATCTTTGTGTATATGTTTGTGTGTAACAGAGAGAGAGAGAGAGATCGTTAAGAATCTTCTTCGATCGTTAATAACAGAACGATTATTTCGTTCTTAGTGTGAGAGATTATTTGATCGAAGGAATTACGAGAAAGAGATGTATTGTTATACGCGATTTTGTTCTTCTAATAAATTCTTACATGAAAGATTGAATTGAGTTTCAATTGATATATGGTTGATCGGTTATAGTTGTGATCATTTAATTATTATTTTAGATTTATTGAATTATTTCATTCGATTGATAGAATAAATAAATGTTCGTTTGTTGGGATCGTTTGAAAATAATTAATCGAAGATGCAATCGAATAATACGATTTTCAAAGTTAAATACAAAATACATAATTATATATGTTCGTATTTTCCAAATGATAATTACCGATCAGACGTAGTAGATAATTTCGAAAAAAACAACAAAAAATGTTATAGAAGAATTAAGAACGTACTATTGGTGTTTTAAGATAGATTTAAATAATTCATTTAAAAGTGATATAACTCGGTGAACGTAAAACTGATCATATGAGGTAAGGATAGAGGAGTGTTAGATAAAAATCGCATTTAAAAGATCGCGTCTGAGGATTTTCTTGTCTAACGCGTAGGTAATATCGTTCCATCGTCCCGATCGTCGATTAAATCGGCACGTTATGTTTGCGACATAGCACGAGCGAATTAATCCGTAGAACTATAAGGATTTAGTAGTCCTCTGGCAAGGCGACGGTGTACACCTAGCGAACCGGTCTTTCACGGATTGGAAGATACGACTTCTAATTAGTCGTTAGTTTAAATGCAAGCCGATGTTAATCGTCGCGTTAGCGATCTTCGAAAATTTCGAAATCCAACAGAGATTCTTCTTCTTCTTTATTAGATATTCTGTATCTTTTTTTTGGTGCTAAAAGAAAAAAGTCGTATTTTTGATATCCTGGAAATGAGAGAAAATCAAATTCGAAATGTTTGAATTGAACGCACACATTTACGTGTATGATTATTTTCGACATTTTAAAATTATTTTTTAATGTCTGTCAATCGCATATTTTCTTTTTAGTTTGGCCCACGTGTCAAGGGAGAAACAAAAGAGATAAACCTCGGTGATAGATACCTATATTACTAATTCTCTGATAATAATCGTGAAAGGAAAGATTGGTAGCATTGACAAAAGATAAAGAATAAGAATAAGAAGAATAAAAGGTGGAAGGAAAAAGAAAAAACGAAATATACAAAATGTTGAGACGAAATTTCCAAGAAAGAACGGAGGACGAATCTTGTGATCTGCAAACGAAAGGATACGTATCGAAGGATTAAAGGACATCGAATGGACGTGGGTGATATATCGAGCTCAATAGGATTACCTCCAGGGAGTGGATCGAATCCCGGAAATACGAGTGTTGGTGTTATCGCGAATACAACATCCAGTAGCCATACCGTAGGGTGGTGGACGCCTACGTCGAGCATTGCTTCGGCACCGGCCACCACCGACGTGGTAAGTTTTTTTTAATTTTTTTCTAATCGATATTTAACCTATTCATTATTACATAATGATTCAGAATTAATGGGTTATTAATTGATAGTTTTTTTCAAATCAATTATAAATAGATTATATTTTTTGTATGTACCTACTATCCTATCACGTACTTACCTATCATCCTTAATATTTTATATTATATAATATAATATTCAATAATTATTAAATTTTGTAATTAATATGTATATTTTGATTATAATTAAATATTTAATAATTATATTTTATAATTATATAATTTATAATTACTTTCATATTTCATTTACTAATTTTGCTAAAAGTAAATAGGTTTAGAAAATATATATATATTAAAATAATAATAGTATTTAGTATTAAATTTTTATTAATATTTCATTTTCTAATTTTGCTAAAAATAAATAGGTTTAGAAAATAAACCTATTTCCTAAACCTAACCTTATTTCTAAATATTATATTATATATTATATATATATTATTATAATTTTATATTTATTATTATCATATATAAATACAATATATATTTTATTTATATTCAAATAATAATAGTATTTAGTATTAAATATTTATTAAAAATCGATACGAATTTTTTGAGGTATTTATATAATATTTATATCATTGAATTACTGAAAAAATTAATGCAGATTTTCAAATGTAGTTTTAAGTATCATACGATGTCTGTGAAAATCAAATAAAATAGTATTATTTTCAATTGTAATTAAAACTAGGCACGAGTTTTCCTGTCAATCTGATACGTATGATCTTGGGATAGAAAGAAACATAAGATAGAGATAGAAATGAGTAGACGGGAAAGGCTACCAAGAAGACAGGAGACACGAGAACATTTATTTAGTTCCGTTGGGTCGCGGTGCGTCAGGCTGCAGGGATTAGATCGGAGGTGACACAAGCCGCGTCATCTGTTTGACGTTGAACCTTTTTTATTTTTCTCTTCGTCTTCTATGCATCGTGCTTCACTGTCGTTTCCATCAGGTGTCATCAAGCACCTCCCTTCTTATTCTACAAGTTCGTTTACGTGGTATGTGTGAAAGTGTAAATATATATATATATATATGCACCGTTCCTTCGAACATCCGCGTATACTCGATAATAATACCAACAACAACAACAATGGGTAACTGTGTGTCCCTATATAAGTAATATCTTTGGTTATATAGATAGAAGTTACAATAGAATCTCAATTTCGTTCTAGCAAGTTGTTCACGGTAGCCATACGTTTGAGAACTTTAATAGGTAACAAACAAGTCGTGGAAACTAATTTTGCCGTTGGAGTCTCGTAAATTTGTTACCGTTAATGCCAATGTGGGATAATTCTTAGATAGGTGATCTTTAAAAGAACTTTCACAGCTACGATATTTGTTAAACGACCTATCGATTATAGATAAATGTATATTAGGGTAGTCGTTATTCGTGCTCGTAATTATGGCATTGGATAGAGTCGAACTATTGATTAAATTTCTTTTATAAAATAAATCATTTTCATATATGAAATAAATGTTATAACTTGCAATTTTATGGAAATATTTTAATAAGTGTAAATTAGGTTCAGTTCAAAATCAATATGATCAATGAGATCAATTTGAAAATTATATTTGATCATTTATATCTTGTAAAACTTTTTTTTCGAATTACGAAACGTTCGAATAGCATGCTTGGTTTGACCCCAAGGGTCATTCGGTTTTCGTACGAGGATCGAGCTTCTTCTTCTTCTTCTATTCTTCGATGGTATCCTCGAAGAAGCTGCAGCGTTTCTTGTTGCTTTCTTTCTTTCTTTAATTTTTTTCTCGATTTGTATTTCATTCAGAGAATTCTGTTCGATTATTCAGAGAAAATTTTTTGCACGAATAATTCGTGTTGATTTGTAAACCAAAATTTATGTATTATATTAAAAAAATGTGTGTGAAATATATACAGTCAATCTTCTCAAAATTATTCGTACCACGTTATAAAAAAAATTATAAGAGGGTTAACTGTATTATAAACTAATTATTTTGACTATGATACAAAATTATGATATAACATTTCTATTTAATTGTTGTTCCTTTTTTTTGTTTTGTTATAGATGAATCAACTTTGTAGAGTTTGCGGAGAGCCGGCCGCGGGTTTTCATTTTGGAGCCTTCACTTGCGAAGGTTGTAAGGTTAGTTTTATTTCAAATACAAAAATTAATGAATCGATTAGTTCGAATAAATATTTCCTACTTTTTGTTTTATTTTTTAATTTAAAGCAAAACTGGTATCTTTATCTGTTATTTTTTGTTTATTTTTATACAGTCGTTCTTCGGGCGTACCTACAATAATTTGGGCAGTATATCTGAATGCAAGAACGGTGGTGTCTGTGTGATCAATAAAAAAAATCGAACAGCCTGCAAAGCTTGCCGATTACGAAAGTGTCTGATGGTTGGTATGTCAAAATCAGGTTCGAGATACGGACGTCGTTCTAATTGGTTCAAGATTCATTGTCTACTTCAAGAACAGACGCATCAGGCGCATACGCGTCTCATAAAGGATCCAAAGTTGGCATACGAAAAAGCATTTGGTTCGTTGGATGCTGCTAACAACAATAATACCAATAATAACGAAGACGTTAGTACTCCCATTTCGAGTGGTATCATAGGAATGATTACAACAGCGACAACTACGGCTAATAGTTACCATCATCACCATCACCATCATCATCAACAGCAGCAGCAACAACAACAACAGCAACAGCAACAGCAACAGCAGCAACAACAACAACAACAACAGCAACAGTCGCAACAACACCATCAGGATAGAATTGGGAAACGCGAGGATACGGCATTGAGGTCACAGGACATTTCGAGTACGTTGAGATCGCAAGAATTATCATCAAGATCGAGTCAAGAACAAATTGGTATGAGGGTTGCCGAATTAGCAAGAGCACCTCAGGAACTTCTCAGGCCGGAAGTTTCAAGAAGTACTTTTCCAATGTGGAGGGGTCCGGCATTTTTACATCCGGCATTAACGCAAATGCAATTTTTAAATACACCGTTCTTTCCCTTTCAACAACGTTTCATCGTACCGTACGTTAATCAAATTGGAGCTCCACCAATGTTGGAGAGTCTTTCGAGTTCCTCGAGCGAAAGCATAAGTCCTCGATCGACACCATCACCAACGAGAACGAGAGTAGAAGACGATAGTCGAGTTTTAAGAGTACGATCAAGTTTATGTGAAGAAGTTATTGATCGATCATCATCTAGGCCAAAATCTGCAGACGAGTCAGTTATTTACGACAAAAGTCTTGCATTTTTTCGATCTCTTGGTCCGGAACAAGAAGAACCGATTGATCTTAGCATCAAAGCTGCCGTAGCTGCAGCGGAAGCTATTGCTGCTGCTACGGCTACCGGGACAACAGCTAAGTTAGAAACGAGAGAGACGGATCCAGGTAGTACGGAAGAGGAGAGATCGACGGATAACGAGGACAACGAGATTCTTCATGACACGATACCACCATTGGATCTCACGAGGAAAACATGACCATGGACTACAACCGAAGATCCTTGATAGGAACTTCGAGATGACATCGTCTAACATAATACTGTTCTTTTATGTTCTACGTAAAAGAATCCGTATTTCTTTCATTGTTCAGTGATTCAATATGTGGAATTATTCGAAAATGAAAGATGTTTTTCCTCTTGACTTATCTATCTATGGTGAATTTAGACCAAAAGTGTAATTAACATTGTTCGTGCCCTTATGATAGTGCCTTTAAGCTCTCTTTTTTTATATGTTATGTTTTTTTTTGTTTAACTCGGCTATCGGTTTAAACTAAGAGAGTTCAAATGTGCCTTGTAAATGAAACTTTTATTAGTATTAACGTTCCCGATATAATCATGCACGGTTTTATGAGTGTTAACGACTTTGTTTTTATGTGTGACGTAATCGGGGAATGACAAACGTTTTTTTTTTGTTTTTTTTTTTTTTTTTATTATTATTTCTATTTATCAATAACGAAGGAATGATTTTCTTTCTATCGCGTCGGAACGTGCACATATACATACATGAAAATACGTGGGGAAATACCATATACTTGCATATTACAAGTTTTTATTTAATCCGAGTTAGTAGCTGCATTAAAACTCGGTTTAAAAGAAAAGAAAAAAAAAAGATATGACAAAACGTAGAAATGATTCTTTATCTTAGGATGTACGTTTTTTTTTGTCGACGAAATCAATGTTTTATAACAAAAAGTGCCTTTAAACGAATAGTATAATTAAATACATGATCAATTGTATAAAAAAAAATGAACAAATTTTAATAATTAAAAGCATTCAGCTTTATCTTCCTGCTTTTAAAAGTGGCCTTCATTATAAATGATATTTCAAGATTAATCTCGATTTGGATCGAATTTTTAACATGTTGTACGAATAATTAAAATAAAATCATATTTTGTATATATATATGTATATTGTATATATATATATATATGAAATGAAATGATTTACACAAATTGAAATGTTGTCCTTGTCATCAAAATATGATTCGTGTGTTATATGTTACATTTATAAGTTATGTATGCCTGAAAGTCATTCTCGAGATTATTGGAAAGTATTGATTCGTAGGAAGGAGACCTCGTTGCACCTTTTAGAGTTCTCTTTGTTAAGTACGCAACTTCGCGAAATCGTGCGATGTTTGCCCCGTTCGGTCGAAGACGAGCTCTTTGTAAATATCCTTGGAAAGCGGACGGACGGCCATCTGGAACGCGAACTCTTCAAACACACGAGTTCATACATATTACAAGGACTTTCTTACGTACACCAAGGGGAAGGTGGGGGAAAGGAAGGTAGGTAAAAATAAATTGAAATAAAAAAGAAAATAAAGAAGAAGAAGAGACAGGTACGAAGTTACGATCGAGCTCACATCACACGTTGAAGATCTTTTGATGGGTGCGAAATGTAGAACTTAGTATGCTGACATTTTTCAAAGTTTAACCAATAAGAAAAGAATGTGATAGCTCACTTATGATATCTTACGAATAAGAGAGTCGTCTTTATTTGATTCTAAACATTTAGAAACTCTCACTTGACATAACTGTCACAGGTAAATGGTATTGAAGTTTTCTCTAGCCCTTTTTTTAATTTTTTTTTTGTTTAAAACGTATAGCACAGCGATATAACTAGTATGTACTATACACTCAATACAACTCACGATCAAATCAAATCTAGTATATACTTTGATCTCGAGGATTTCGAATAGAAGTAGCTTAAGTCTTACACACACGTTTCATATATGCCAGGTGGAGATTGGATTTATCGATTATTAGAAGATTTGCGACGCTTTCTCGTTTAGATGAAGAGAATTTAAAAGAAGATTTTCGATATACCATGATGACGGACAAGATGGAAATATTCAAAGAAAGAGATAGATAGATCGATAGATCTCAAGATGATTTCTCGATCGTTTCAACGAGTTACAGGGAGGAGAGAAGAGATGAGAGGGGTGTATTCTCTCTCTTTCTGATGGTTGTAGAGATGGCAATAGTGGTTACGATGTTCCTCTCAATTTCTTATTTTCTATGTGTGCACCTGTGTGTATGTTCACGCGAGTAGGTACCTGTAAAGGCGCGACGGTTAAAATACCTCAGAGTCCACTTGTTGTTGACTTAGGTGGGACGAATAAGAGGAGACCCACTCGACGTCCACCCAACAAGCTCTTGTGATTTCCTGCCTGATTCAACTTTCCGAGGGTCAGCTCGTTCTCGTTCTTGCTCTTGCTCTCCTCTTGCTCTTGCTTTTTTGCTGTATTAGTTTTAAGAAAATAAAATAAAGAAAAGTAAGAAAGACAAGAATTAAAAGAAAAAGAAAAAATATCGTGGTGTAGAACGACGGGCACGTAACTCCTTTTGAGGTACTTCTGATACGGAATGCGTTGTACAATGACTCTCGAGAATCGTCAAAGACGTGATATTGCTAATCACGTAACAAGATTCCTCGGTGCCAGGTATCACGTATTCTGTTCATTCGTGATGTATTTTATGTGAAAAAATTGACCAGAGAAAAATGATGAAACATGAAAGATGTAATATCGATAACATTCGTGTGTATGATTTATTATGTTAGGTTTTATCGAAATTTTTTTGCTATTTTTTTTTAGTCTTAACATGAAATAAAATGATAGTGTGTGTGTGTATGTAAAAATTAGATAGAAAAAATACAAAACTTTTAGGACAATATAATAAATGGGCAGATGAAGAACAAAACTTTTCCAAAATCGTTTAACGTGCCAATAGATCATCGAATATATTTTAATGAATTATATTCGAATCGGTTAATCATTTCGACACTATTGAGATCTTCGGGATAACATGATTTTTTGGTATCTCAACGATTATTCTTATCCGACCTGTCTGCTGACATGTCAAATATTTTTAACCTCTTAACGAACTGGTTAACCTATTCCCGCGTTAATTCGTATATGCAAATTAATTTTACACATATATTTTTTTTATTTTTCTTTCGTCATGTATCGATTATTTTGTTTTCTTTTTTTTTTCTCATCTTCGTATTCTATTGAAAATTAAGAGAAATCATGAGAGCGAGTTCAGACTTGTCTGGAGGTCATTCGATGTCGTATTCGATTTCCAAATAGTTAAACTCAAGACTAGATGAGAAAGACCGATTTCTTTTTTTCTTTTTTGCTGAGAGAAAACCGTTCGATCTTACGCGGTCATGAATCCCTAAGATATTTATTCATTTGAGGAGTGTATTTCGCTATCTCCCACCATTGGTAACCATTTTGATCGTATAGCGGACTTACTATTCTTCTCATCTTCCTTTCTCCTTCTCTTTCTCTTTCTTATTCTATTCTCTATTTTTTTATCTACCTCATTCGTCTCATCTTTTTAGTGCGTTACGTAAATCTCGGAGACACCGTACAACGGATCGTCAAAGTCACCGTCTCGTCGTAAATTAATAAAGTCCCTCCTTCGAAACAGAAGATCTGACTGTTCGTTTGTGAGAGAGAGAGAAAAAAATAAAAAAAGAAAGAAAAGAATAAGAGAGAGAGAGAGAGAGAGAGAGAGAGAGAGAGCCCGGAAGAGAAGGAAGACCGGTTAGTTGTTCATTGACGGGGCGAAGGCCCCCGTACGTGAATGGTAGTCGTCCCAAGCTAAGAATAAGCCAATATATTAAAGAAAGAGTTGATTTTTATATCGTATTCGTGACTACGAGACTCGCCGAATCGAGTCATAAATTGGCTAATAAATCGAGACTACGATTAATCTACTGTACCTTGTCGCGTCTTCTGACGATTCGCATTTGAGGAGATTTGAAACGAATTTTATCTTTTTTTTTTCTTCAACTTATATTACGAAGTTGTTCGAACGTTATTATATAGTCATTAGGATTGAAATGAACTGTAATTAATTCGTTTACCAACCTTTTTTTTTCAATTAGATCGCTAAAAAGGAATATTTTATTTTTACCGTTATTTGATTATAATAAGAAATTTGAAATATTTCATTGTTAATTAATAAATAAATAAATAATTATTGTTACTTTTCGTTGAGAATAAGTTAAAACAAACACTATTTAAAAGTTTGTTCAATCAAAAATTAAATCTGGTTAAATGTTTTTCTTGAAATTTTTAAAGATACTAAAAAGATCAACAGGTACTGTAAAGTATAATTTTATTATGTATTTAACTTTGACAAAAATAACTAATATAAACCCTTATCCCCCAAGCTTTCCATTTTGTCGATCCCATATCTGGGTTATTTATTCAATATTTTCAACGATGCTGAAATTCGTTTTCGTCGAATGTCGGCAATGCTAAAATAGAATGCGACATTTTACGTGGGAAGTCGAGATAAAAGAGATGAAGGTGAAGAAGTTTAAAGATAAAAAAAAACGACGAAGTGAAGACTAATAGGATTGTAAAATGAGAAGAGAGAAAAAGGAAAAAGAAAAAGAGATTCTACGAAGTTTGTTTCAAATATCAAACATATGTTTATTATATTCAACATTATATTACCATTTAACGGTACATCGGAAACCTGTAGGTACTAAAACGATCGAGAAGAATTGAAGAATTATACTTTGACCAAAAAAAAAATATGTCATAGATCCCTTACCCAAAATTACCGATTGTTAACGATTCAACAGCATACGCTAATGATGAAGATTCTAATAACAAATAATTGTTCATATAATGATAACAATTGTTAATCGTTATGCCAATCGATTAATATATTAACAATTGGTAAAATATTAATTTTAATTAAATAATTCTTTCTAAATTTATGATCAAAGTTGTCCTAGATGAATGTGGTGACACGGGGTACATACAACGTGGGCAGCCAAGATAAAAGAGATGAAGGTAAAGAAGTTAAAGATAAAGAACGAGGGGTTTTTTAGAAGGGGTTTAAGAATAGAAAGGAAGAGAAGAAGGGTAAGGTAAAAGACTCTAAGAAGAAGAAGAAGAAGAAGAAGATGAAGAAGAAGAAGAAGAAGAAGAAAAATAAAAAGAAAACGAAGAAGAAGAAAAGCTTGGCAGATGCGCGGCACGGGCGTAAGAGCGGGGCCATTACGCGCGAGTGCGTGAGGTAAAGAGGTTTACTACACCTGTGGCCTGTGGGCTTGGCTAGCAGCCGAGGTGAGCAGTCGAGGTAAGCAGCCAGAGAGAGCACCGTGAGACCGAAGGAGAGAAGGGAGGTCAGTCCGGGTTGACAGTCCGGGGTCAGACAGCGAGCAAGCGTCCGTTCGGTTGCCTCCGATTGGCCGCCGGGAAATTCATAATACGTTTTTCATAGATGCGCGAGTGTATCCTCCTTCTCTCTCTCTCTCTCTTTCCATTTTTTTTTCTTTATTTATTTACTTCTTTCTTTCTCTATCTTCCTTGGTTGCGCCTCTATACTCGGCCTCGAGTCGAACGTCTCTCGCGTGACGTTTACGAGCGCTTGACCCTGCGCTCACGTATATATACGGTGTGCGAGCTCGGGACACAGGCGGTACCTTCCTGTTAGCTTGGATGGGGAACGAGATGAAGAAAGGGACGAGTCTCTCTTTCTTTCTTTCTTTCTTTCTTTCTCTTTCTTTCTTTTTTTCCTTTTTTCTTCTCTTCTCGTCTCGTCTCGTCTGCATCGACTACTACG